TATTCTTCTTCCTGGTTTAGCGAGTCATTCAGCTTTGCTGTAGTTTTATGCAGGTTAGTCTTGCTGGGTCTCGTTCTATTAAACCTGAGTCTGTCATTTAGTGAGCCGTGGCTCGTTTTCCACAAATGTGTTTACCTATAAAAAAATACTCAATTTTATTAAGACATGCCAGCACACCAAGCATGACCCATCTTAAATTGTCAAGTTCCTTCATTAGCTTTGGAGCACAGTAGTGATTAGAAACACAGTGAAGTCAGGCTGCGTGGATTCAAATCCACACTTCAGCCCAGCTTAGCTGTGTGACATCACTTAACCTCCCTGGATCTTAGTTTTTCCATTTGTAAAATGGGAATGATAACAGTCCCTCATAGGTCTGTAGTAAGAATTAAATAAGTTAACATTCAAAACCCCTTGAGGTGTGCCCTGCTGAAAATGTTTTTGTTTGCTTGGTTTTGGGGGATGGGAGATGTTTTTTGTTTACAGTTTTTCCCTTAAAGGAAATAAGTAAAGCTTAAGAACTGAATGGGAGGTTCTGGAGAGGTCTCTTTCTGAAAGACTTAATTGCTGTAGGCTGCTTCGGATAACAGCTAACATTTGAGTGTTTAGCCTACACTGAGCACTGTCCTAAGTGTGTTACCATATAAACTCCTTGTATTCGTTCGCTCAGCTGCTATAACAAAATGCCATAGGCTGACTGGCTTAAACAACAGACGTTTATTTCACAGTGTTGTAGAGTCTAGGAAGCCCAAGGTCAGGGCGCCAGCGTGGTCGGGTCTGGTGAGAGCTCTCCTTCGGTTGCTGCCGTCTCACTGTGCCTGGAATGGGGGAGTGCAGACTTGTAAGGCACCAAGCCCACCAGGAGGACCTACCCTCATGACCTCATCTAAACCCACGCAGTTCCCGAGTGCCCGTCTCCACGTACTACCACGGCGTGGCTGTTAGGGCTTCATCATAGCAATTTCGAGGGAACATAGTTCATTCTTAGCATTCATTTAATCTTTACAACTTCATGCGGTTATACAGTTCTTTTATTCAGGAACGAGAGGCCAGGGAGATAAAATAACCTGCCGAAAGTCCCCTTGCTAATAGGTGATGGCTGCTCAGGCAGTTAGTCTGTGATAGTCATAGTTAGCATTGAGTCAGACATTAATGAACTCTAAATGGAACACGTTCGCCACAGTCCAGATGGTAGAGCACTTGCGCTAAGCATAGCCCTGGGGTCACTGTCGTGTGTGTTGGTTACACAGGACCTCATTAGCAGTAGATAATAGAGCCTGTGCCCCCATGTTCTCACACGTGTAGGTGTTAAACTTTCACATTAGCCAGTCTGAGGGGTACCTTTTCTTCTTTCTCTGGTGGGTGAGCATTATCACCATGTTGGTTTTCCAGTGAGGAGACAGACAGAGAAGGTGATGTGGTCAGGCTCTTCAGCTAGTAATTGATGGAGCAAAGATAGAAATGTTGGTCTGACTCTGTAGTCTGGGCTCTCTCCATCCCATTGTGCCACCTTACTGTAAGTAGTTAAATTTCCCTAATTCAGGTTTTATAAGCACTTGGATGGGGGAGCTAAGCTGAGGCTCTCTTTTATAGTAGCTATAAAGAAGTTGGTTAATAGTTTCGTTTGGAAGAGTATTTTAAGTACTTAAATACTTGAAAGTACTTGTACCCCACTTCCCCTTCCATAAGCATGTTTTTATGCAGGTTTATTTATTTTTGCACTTACTCATTTAACAAACACTTGTTATTAAACACCTGCTGTATGCCAGGCCCTGTTCTAAGCACTGCAGATATAACATCGAACCTAGTGAAGTTCTTGCTTTCACCGAGTTGACATCTGAATGGGGTTCCCAGACCCAGTTCCAGTGGTAGAGGGAGACTTCTCCACACCAACAAGCAATGCTCTGCCCCTAGCAGGGTGTTGAGAATTCAGCTCAATTCTGGCACTGTCTACCCGGAGATAGAATCAAATTGCACAGGTAAATGAAAGGTTCAGTCCTGCAGGACTGCCCTTCACTTCAGATGCCAGGTTGTTACCTGTGCTTTTGACCAGGCAGCTACAAATTGTACGTTCGAACAACTCCCTTCTCAGGTTTGATTAATTTCCTAGAACAAGTCACAGAACTGAAGAAAAGCGTTTACTCATTTGATTACTGTTTTACTGCAAAGGATATTAAAAGATACGAATCAATAGCCAGATGGAGAAATACATAGGGCAGGGTCCTGAATGAAGGGGCTTCAGCCCTCATGGAGCTTGGGGCCTGCCTGGTGACACGTGGAAGTGATCTGGTTCTCCAGCCTGGAAGCTGTCTCAAAGAGGATCAAGGCACTGTCCTCTTGGATTTTTATGGGGGCTTCATTATGCGGTCGTGATTGCCCAAGTCATTGGCCATTGACAGTTGAACTCAGCGTCTAGCCACTATTTACTCCCTGGAG